TTACTATAGCAAGGAACATAAGATAAGTTACTCTCAACGAGGACCCATCGACAGCAAGACGATGTTGTGAAGATGGGTTGCGAAACAATGTTGTATGTTCTGTTGTCTGTCTCCATAAATTGCTTATGCATAGAATGTTTTGATTCGATATCGTCAGTCCAACCCAAGGGCTAATTCAACCCTCTACACTCAACCAATAAGAGGTATAATTACGTGACAAGAATTGAAAATCACACTATGGAAGGGGTTTGATAGGAAAAAAATCTCTACTTAGATATATGAATAATTGATATATGAACGCCATTTCTCATTAGGGTAGGTATAGTTTATATACCGTGAAATAATAGTATCAAGTGTGTAGTGAGAATATAGAAGAATTATAGACTAAAATTTTTTGATTTTGGGATTAACAGTGCATGGATTAGTTAAGCTTAACAACCAGGCCTTTAGGCCTGATTGAAAATAAATGAGTAACAAATGACAAAGTTTTGGGTGGAGAGTACATAATTAGGAGTAAGGAATTTAGCGCCTTGTCTTGACTTCACCTTTCTGTCTTCTGTACAAACATCTAGGCGAAGTGAGGAACATAAAACTATTTACCAAGGAATTATAACAATTTTTCCCTTTTGTCCCAGTTTTATAGAGCAGTTGCCCCATATCCAGATCAGGAACTTATACAATAACCCCTTTAGACTATCCCTCTTATACCCATCGGCTTATTCGTCAAAAGTTAGCTGAATTAGAAAAGCGCCAGTTCCAAAACTAGGCCTGGCTAAACACGCCGCAGAAAATGGACATGGCTGAAGTGGTCTCAAATATATCGTTTTGCTGATTATGTCATGCCAGCCATAGAATTTGTTAGATTCTGAAACAAATTGGAAATAAGTAGCATTTAGATCAGAACCCCTTATTCTAAGGTATGAAGACCAAGATGGAGTGGCTTTTAGTATGGCCGCGGTTGCATTTCTTTGTATGGTAGTCGTTCGATCTTGTTTTAGCAACTTGGTCATATTGGCAGGAAGACATAGAGGAACCCACCTAGTCCGGAGTCCATTGTATGCATGATCATTTCCACAGTCCGATTCTGGAAATGATCCCGTATACAATGGACTCCGGACTAGGTTGGTTCCTCTAACTCTTCCTACCAATATGACCAAGTTGCGAAAACAAGGTAAAACAACGTCTACACCACGAAAGGAGACTGCGACAATACTAAAGGCCACACCATCTTGGTCTTCATACCTTGGAAGAACTATTTATGCTTACTTAAAAGATGGATGCCAAGTATGCTTAAAATGTGTGGTGGCTTAACTAGTCTTTTTGGCTGTAGTCATAATGGTGTTCGTTCTTTAGAGAGCTTTAGGCTCTCAAAGAAATATCTCATCGACTCGACCAGACGTGAGTTTGGCATCACTTGTATGGAGTGTTCGTAAAAGGAAGTGTGGTTAGGCTTTGAAGGCTTAGGACAAATTTTGTGCTCTGTCCTGATTTTTGGAAACTATAACTGCTTGTTTCCTATCTTTGACTGCACGTGCACACACACACACACACACACATACAAATAAGCATAAGTATCTAGGTTGAACGTTAAATCAACTTTTCATCTCACAATAAACCTCGCAAAAATTTGTGCCGATGGAATATGTGCCGGGTGAGCGAATAAGCCGGTTGGTTACACTGTCTGGTTAATTCAAAGTTGTTGTATGATAGCCACCCCCTATGATGTCTAAACTGTGATAAGCAAAAGCTGGACTCGTTTTCACCTGAACCAAAGGAGGCTGCCTCGGGGACTGGGTTAACCTGAAATAACCAAGCAAACCAAATGACAGCTTGTCAAAAGGAATCCGCCATCATCTTCTGATGAGATAAGTCCAGAAGTGTCTTCAATACACAGCCAAACTCTAAACGGAAATGAGCTCAACAATGGCTTGATAAGACTTGACACTAAATTTTGTTTGGTGCCTCGGAACGGCCGGATTCGGCTTCCTTATTGAAAGTCTTCAGCGAAGGCAAAATCCAGGATTGGGAGGAAGGGAAGCGAATAATTGGTTCGATGCATCCAAGCCTCAACAGAGGAATCGGAGACTGGAGACGAATAGCCATTCAGGCAAAAATGCCTTAATTTGAGTGCTTAGGATTGGTTAATATGCATTTTATCCGGTGAGGCCGCATGAG